TATGTACCCATACCAGCTAACAAACCCCTCCATCAAAGCACCTAGTGGAAGAGCCAAAGACTCCCAAATCACCTCTCCTGTTTAATCCCCTCTCAAACTCAGGGGCCTCCATTCATAACAGGGCATCGTGTTGTTCTGATTATGCATGGTTTAGCAATAAAAAAATTATCTTGCAACCCCAAAACACTCATATTTACTAAATTATTATATGCTTAGATATCTCCAGTCCATACATTAAATATTAAATATCTTCTGTTATAGGCAAGAATAATTTGAGATAGATGTTCTAATATTTTCCCACACCCAGTGGGAGGCCTCTCTCCAACAAAAGGATGACATGTTTGCATGGATGGCTCTTCTAAGCCTGAGCCCTGGGGGGGGGGGACGGGCAGGGCATGATGGGAGTCACAGAGTCAGTTGCCCAACCTCTAAGGAAAAGCCAGCGACCCTAAAATAGTCTGAAGTGTGGCATTTGGTCCAGGTAGTTGATGACAAATTGTGTCCTGTGTCACAAATTCTGGCAAGTTCTGGGTGACCTGACTTTTCTAGAAGTGGGAGAGGAAGATGGGGAAATAACAATGGCTCGCAGCCAGTATGAACTCGCCTATGCCCTCCTCTTGATGGGTATCACAGAGTCATTACAATCCCCCAAGAGGGACCCTTAAAAGAGGCCTGGTTAAGCCTCCTGGGGGGATGTTTCCTGGCGCTGAGATGGCAGATGTCCGAGTTGGAAGGGACACTCTGACCCACAGCCTGGATTCATAGTTAGATTTACAGGCTCTGAGTGGCCGCAGCCCTCCAGGACATCTCGAGGCAGATGGGGAAAAGCTAGGCTATAACTCACTGTATCCTGTTCTTTTCTTACTCCTAGCCTGCCACTGTTCTCCAGAGGCACATGATCCCTGCAAGAGCCACTCAGTGGAGCACTGAGATGGGAGCCCCAGGTCGCAGTGGAAATGTCATGACACCGGAAAGGGCCATGCATACACGGGAAGGGCCATAGTTGCTCACATACCACATACCCAAGACTCATCTGAACAGGGGGCCAGCATCCTTTCCAGACATGAAGGGTCAGCTGGCAGAGTCTGGCAGGGCAAGGATTAGGGTTTCGAGACAAAGAGAGCAGCTAGAACCCAGCAGGACCCTAAGGAATCTCCCAGCCTTCAGCTCAGCCCTCCTGGCTCACCATATAAGTACTCTCAAAGCCACAGCCAGGGTTCCATGGGATTTGCCCAAACTATCATGTTCTCAGCTTCCAGGTAGCCTTAGAGCTGATGTCCTTGGCCCGAGAGGGTACTGTGAAAACTTAGTCTCCTGAGCATACTGGAGTTGAAGATTCTAGGTCATAGGAGATGCTGACACGGACCAGCAACCTGACCTCAGTATGAAATCCTGCTGCCAAAGAAGCCCAGGGTTCCAGCTTCCATCCTCAAAATCACTCTATCCAAGATCTATAGCCTCTTCCCTTTCAAACCACACCTCCAAGGCATGCTTCAACTCCACCTATCTATTTCTCAGGCTTAACCCCAATTCTGGGACTCTGAACACATTGTGCAACCACTGGAGCCTTTAGGGCTTGGCTCATGCTTTATCTAGGAGTCCAGTTCTCACTGGCCTTTGTCAAGGCTGGGTCACCCAGCTCAGTCCTTAGAACAGAACCGAGGTTCCTAGAGAGCAGAGCCCCCAGATGACTCTTCAGTCATCAGAGAGTCTCCAAGGGAAAGGGAATACAACATCTAAAATCCTGCCAAACACCTGGAACCCTATGGCATTCAGACGGATATACAAATGGCGGCTCAGTGCCTCAGCCAAGAGTACATGGTCTTTGAAAGCCTGGGCAACCAATCTCAAGAATATCTGACTCAGTGATGCCACTCTCTGTACCCCCATCTTCTATCAACCATTCAAAGGGCACACTATCCCAAACCAACACAACCCTGGTCTAAGGAGGCAGCCTCGGCAACCTATCATCTTGGCCACTACCCTCTCGCCTTTGTGTCGTCAGAGCCTGGTTGGGTGTGGCTGCCCATGAACCCTTATGGATAAGTCTGTGGTATATTAAGAGCTACAATAGCAAAAAGATTACCCCTTTGAACAAAAGGGGACAAGAAGGAGGAAGGAATCTGGAGGGAGGGGGTTCTTTGGAGCAGCTGGACTATGACTGGATGAAGGCAAGACCCCACTGCTTCCCTGATGCCGTGAAGCCGATTTCCTTCTCATATTAATGGGGTGGTCAAGGGTGTAGAGTCTACCCAAAGCTCTAGGTGGGAACAGCCACCACTTGGAGTGGCACCACAAGAGAGTTAGGGCTTCAAGAAAACAACCCTTGTCTGTCTAAAAACTGTGCACAAAAAGTTCAGCTATCTGAGGAAGGATAGCCTGAGCTGTCTGTCCATGCCCAGAATCTGTCCAACTGCGTGCCATCACCCAGGGTGACAGGCTAACATGCAATGACCCTCCTGACCCTGTATCTCTAAAAACATATCTGAAGGACACCTTTCCAGGCCACATTAAGGTTGGACCCTGCCCTGCTCTGTGTTCCTCTCTGCCTTCAAGCACCCATCCCTTCCAGTAGGCCTTGGGTTGGGGATCTGGGACATATGCTGAGCAGACCAGTATTGGATGCTAGAATCAGATCACAGGCCTGGGAAAGACTACCTTTGCCCTTAATCTTCCATTTCTTAAGGGGTAAGATGAGAACAAGGGCATGTTCATCCCTGAATGAGCACTTCTCTCCCATCTTGAGGCTCTCTGCCTCTGGACTGAAGTCTGGGCCCTTGGTTTAGTCAATACCAGACACACACATAATAGGACACTGGGGGAAAGATGGGGTGAGAAGGGGTCATCCAACCCCTGACCTCTGACCTCCGCCACCACCCCTGTGGTGTCAGGTGGATGGATGTAGGAGAGTCCAACACACACAGAGGGGCTCCCGATGCACTCCCTCTCATATCGCCACAGGCACTTTCCTGGGATGCTCTAATGTCAGAAGGGAGCAAGAGGCCACCTGGGCCCCTTCCCCCTTCCATCAGTGTCTCCAGGAAAGGCCAATACTACTCTTCCCTATGGAACTCCTTCCCCAAGCCTCAGTTTTAGAGGTGTGACACCTCTGTGTGGCCATAAAGAGCCTATGTGATTGTGATCAACCCTGCCTCCCTGAGGGTTCCCAAAGATATACACATCCTTGGAGCAAAGAACAAGCCAGACACAGCTCACCAGCTCCCAAACTCTCCAGTCCTTGGCACATCCAGTCACCTGAAAACCTCTATGCCCAGCTCCTGAGCACAAGCCACTAAGTGCCCTCCATCCATCCCTCCACCCAGGGGTGCACTTCCAGGTCCAAGCTTCCCTGACAATTCCCCTCCAGACCTTGCCCCAGGCATTCTCAGAGATGGGCAGGCACCTTGGCCTACATGGGGGTAGAGGCTCTTCCTTGTCCTCCTCTCCCTTCCCCTTTGGTTGTCTTTCTGGTCATCCTTGGGCAGGCTGGAGATGGTAAGGAGTAAATAGCAGAGCTAAGATATGGGTCAGTCTTGTCTCCTGGACCAGGAGTCAGGGATATCTCTTGGGGCTGTCCATCTCACTTAAAGTATAAGCTTTGTAAGAACCAAAGCTGTCTCCCTTAAACCAAGAAAGCTGGTGGGCTCTAGAGAGAACAAGACTGCGGTTCCTTCAGGCTTTGTAGCCCTGAGGCAATGGCTGGAGCAAAAAGAAGGTGGACACTGAGAGGGAGGGGGCAGTGTCCACAGCACACTGGGTCTCTTCTGCTCTAGTCTGTCCCCAAGGCAAAGAGCTACCCTAAATGCCTCCCTCAGAGCCTGGCCACTATCCTATCCATCCTTTAGAAGCCCTGGGGCAGAAAGCAATGAGGGGTCCTCTGAACATCCCAGGGCCACCCACACCCTTGGGGATGTGGGAGGGGGCAGCCGGGTAGAAGGGGTGGTGGTCACCTGGCTGAGGGATGAAAGAAAGGCTGTGCTGGCTCTGGGTGCCTGAGCTCTTCCTTTCTGTCCCTCCCAGGCCTCTGGCCCCTGTCCCTACCAAAGAAACATAACAACAAAAAAGAGCAGGCCACCACCGACACCGCGGGGCTCACTCAGACGGGGCAAACCAGACAAATGCCAGGCAGAGTTCAATTTTTGAAATAAACAGAACCGCAGAACTGTGGAAAAAATCCCTTTCCCAAAACATGGGTCCTCCTCCCTTCTCCCTCCAGCATCCTGACTCAGAATTATCCTGGGCAGTTACCGAAGCCCAAGCCAGGAAAGGGTCTGTAGGAGCCCAGGGTGGGAAGGAGGGGGGGGTATCTCGGAAATGCCCAAAATGGGATGGAGAGGGCGGCAGGGGGGAGCGAGAAAGGAAAAGCAAAGAGGTAGGCGTCCATGACGGCCTGAACACGTCCATGTCCGTCCGAAGTCTCCTCGGGAGCAGCCAGCTCCCAACTTGTTTATTTATTGGCATGTTTTGCTGTCTCCAAAAGGAAAGAGTTAAAAAAAAATCTCGACCGGTTCTTAAGCAGTCCCTATCAGTCACCTTCCCTCCTCAGCTAAGCATTGCCTCTGCCACCGCCACTATCTGCCACCGCCTGTCAGGAAACCGAGCCGCCTCTACTTTATTCCACTTGAGCGTGGCCAAACTGTTGCTATTTAGTGGGGGGCAAAGAACCCAATTCGCACCCTCAAAACGAGCCGGCAAGAGGGTGGAGGCGAGGACAGGAGCTGGGCCCCAGGTGTCCTCTGCCCGGAAGGGTCCTCTCTAGGGAGAGGGTACCCACCAGCATCATCGGATCACGCCTGGCTGAGGCAGGAGTCACCTGGAACACGCAGCCCTATAGCATCTCCCGAGCCAGGGCGAGCCTGACGCGCGCCCGGCAGGCTGCGAGCAGAGGCGAGCTGGGGGGAGCGCAGGGCCGGTTCCCGGGCCGCGGGCGGGCAAGAGGGAGGCACGGAGCTGGGGCGTGGAGGGGGGGGGGCGGGCTGGGCGGCGGCCGCCTGACTTACATGGAAGTGATATTCCTTGAGATGTCCGTGATGTTGATACTGGCGTTCCCATTGCTATTCCCTGAATCCTGCCCTTCCAGGAGGGGAAGAGGTTCCCATCGTCCGGCCGCCGGCAATTGATCTCAGTCTTGCTGCAGACACAATTTGCAGGGCAAGCCAGCACCGAGCCCACATAGTCCAGCCAGACGCTTCCCAGCAAGAAAATCCGCCAGAAACTACACTTGGCTGGGCAAAGAGAGAGCATCCATCTCCGATCGCTGCTTCTAAAAAAGAGGAGGAGGAGGAGAGGAGAGGGGGGGTGGGGGTGGGGGGAGTGGGGAGATCAGGGGGAAGGAAACAAAGACGACGAGGGAGGGGAAGGGGGAGGGGGCCTCTGCCTTTGAAACGCCGAGCGATCAGATGCAAAATCCTTCAGCGTCGGAAACCATCGCGGCCGCCGCTGCCGCCGGGTGGGAGCCGCGGGGAGCGCCTAGTGGCGCGGTCTGCCGGGCATGGTGGCCGGCTCGGCGCTCGCCGGCTTGCGGGGTCCAGGAGCTCTGGAAACGAGGCGCGCTCTCCGACTCCGAGACTTTGCAGGGTTGCCACAACAGACGGTGGGAAGGCGAAAATAATAATAAAAAAGGGAAAAATGGTGCTAAAGTCACCAAGTCCCACCTCCTGGGTAGAATTAAAACGGACACACCTGCAAAACACACTCTCACACACTCACATACACACGCGCGCGGAGCAGGAGGAAGGAGGAGGAGGAAGATGCAGTCAGAGCTGCAGCAGCCGCCGCGAAAGGCTCGCTACGCGCCTGCAGAAATGTACAAGTGCTCCGAGCCTTACGAAACGCACGGGTTATCGGAGCGTCTTCCTCGGCTCCCTCCCTCCCTCCTCCCCTCCTCCTCCCCTCCCCTCGTCGCGGCCTCCTCCCCCCGCCCCCGCCCGGGCTGGGAGGGCAGGAGAGCGGAATCTCCCCCCTCCCTCCCCTCCCCACACCCCCTCTCTCTCCCCGCCCGTCCTCTCCCTCCTGCTTCCCCACCCACCCACCCACTCGCCGGCTCTCGGCTCTCGCCGGTACCGCCACCCGCAGCCGCGCCGCTGCCTGCCCGCTCCACGCCTAGCGGCCCCGCGACCGCTCGCCGCAGCCGAGGGGAAACCAAGACGGAAGGGAAAAAGTTGCAGTTGGGATTCCGAGGGTCGACGCTGGGGAGGAGAGTTGGCAAGCTGGATGCGCGACACGAAAGGCGGTCTCCTTTCCACTTTTGGCCCTCGTGCTGCCCGGTTTTGCTGCAATCTCCTCCGCGGGAGGAAGCGAAATGAGCGCGGCCGAGTGACCGGGGTGCTCCTCAGCCTGGGTGAGGGGCGCAGACTCGCGGACAGTGACCAGGCACAGGAGCTCACAGGAACCCGGAGCGAGGCAGCCAGGGACGCCGGCTACAGACGTGCCTAGATCTGAATGACACTCATTTGGGTAATCGAGTCCTGGGAGCTGGGCTCGGCTTAGGAGGGGATTGCGGGACATGGCACGCTGGGTGCTCCTTGCCCACTGCTCCTTCTTGGCAGTGCGTTTTGGGTTCCCGCCTTGGGCAAGCGGGAGCAGAGAAGGACGGAAGGGGGAAGGAGTGCCTGCAAGACTGCGCTGGAGAACCGAGGTGGCCCTGGGCGAGCGATGCAAGTGAAAGAAATTGAGATGCAAAGGGCATTATTTGGCAAGCGCCACGCCAGCACCGTCAGAGGCCGACTTCTTGGGCTCAGCCCTCGGGTGCGCTGAGCTGGCAGCCGGGTGAGGGGGGGCGGGGCTGCTTTCTCCGGATTTGGGGGCGCAGAACCTCCCTCTTTCCCCTCCCCCGCAAACACCCCTTCCTGGTAGGGGCGAAAAACAGGTGCAGCCTTCCGGAGGCAAGTTTAGACTCGGTCGGAAAAGAGTATATTCCCCGCTTTTAGCCTTGATAGGATTTTTTAAGATAAAAATAAAAATAATATGTAAAATGGGAGCTATTTCCTGAAAAGCCTGAGATTTTGCTGTGGGAAAGGAGAAGAAAGGGTTAGGGAAGTCCGAGCAGGCAGACACATACAGCATTCACACACAGAAGAAAGCGGCGCTCTCCTCCCCAAGCTTGGGTGAGGGCAGGCTAGGAAGCAAAATACATTGAATTCAACTGCATCCAGGATCTGAAAGGATTCTCCCCCCGCCCCCCCTGTGGATTCCGATGCAGGTCATGCAACTTGCAGGCAAGATGGGGGAAGGGGTATTGCAGTGCCACTAGCCTGTCCCTGGTGCCACGGACAGACAGACCCGATGTCTTATGGTGGCACTTTTTGCAGGGAGTAAACTTGGATGAAAAGAGGGAAAGAAAAAAGAACATGCCTATAAAAGGCAGCTTTTCCGACTTCGTATTACATCTTGCCTTCCTTTGGCCTCAAAGGCTTTTACACCCTGTCGCCATGATGGCCTTGTCCCCAGAATGGCATTTTGCCCTCCCCGCCAGCAGGAGGGGACAGAGTGGAGACAGCCTTAGACTCTTAAACCAATTCCTACTGGCCCCAGGCCAGTCCCTGGTGTCCTTGTCCACTGGGAATCTCCCTGACACTTCAAGTGCTATTCTAAGTGACTTTGGGGTTCTCTGGGAAGCAGAGAGAGACTTAAGGGGTAGCCAATACACTGAGCTTGGCATCTATCGGGATATGGCAGAGAGGGGACCAGGGAGCATTTCCCAGAACACCCAAGGCCAGACGGAGTAGTGATTGCAGAGTGGGTTTAACAGAATTCCACTGTGGAGCAAACCATGGTTGTATCTTAAAGAGTGCCCTAACCATGTTAGACAGAGATGATTTTTAACTCTTCCTGCAAGAAGGGTAGGATATCAATATGTCAGCATTTAAAAACAAAACTTTAGAAACCTCTCCAGAGAGGGGAAATTCAGGCTGTGAGTAAGGGATCCTGATGGTTCCAGAGGTCTTTCCTTCTTATCAGCAGGTAAGAGTAAGTTAGGGTGCTAGGGTCTCCCAGGAGCTTTGAGTCTGCTCTGGAAGGAAAGCTTAAAATGAAGAAGGGCCTTCTTTATGTGGACTGCAAGTGGGAGTAGCAGGGTTCTACCTGTGATCCTGGACAAATGGATGTAAGATGCTCTGGGCCTCAGCTTTCATATCCATAAAGTGACCACATTGAACCAGACCTTTGCTGTCCTCTAACTGGTGGCATCCACAGTCCTGAAAGCTTGTGATGACACAGCTCCTTAGGCAGCACCAAAACTTAGTAAAGGAAACATTTTAAGAAGTTCCCCAGGTGACTGACAGGCATTGGGGGGTGGGGTGGAGGCTTCTGAAGCACTCCAGCTTGAATCATCTCTGGTTCTATATGAACCCTGGGTGAAGGGACACTGGAAAGGAAGAGGGGTTGCATGTGGGTTCACAGTAGCATCCTCTTAAGAATAAAATGAGCTGAGTTGCTTGCAAAGATGGAGTTTGGGGCTGGCAAGATGACTGTCATCAATAAAGTGCTAACCACACAAGAATGAAGACTCAGCACCCATTTTTTCAAATAGATTTAACAATGTATATTGCTAGGGGAGTGTAGAGACCAGAGGGTCTCTGGTGAATGCTGAAACAGCAAGATTCAGTGAGAGACCCTGTCTCAAATAATAAGATAAGGGAGGGAAATCAAGGAAAGCATAAGACATCAACTCTGGACTCCACGTCACCCACACACTGTACAGACACATAAACATGTACACACATAGACCTTTAAACTTTCACTGCCAATGCAGCTCCCACAGCCCACAGAAAAGCAGCCAAAGAAAGCCAGAGTTGGGTGAGGGAGTAGGACAAAGTCTCTGGCATAGACACCTTCCTCTCAGTCAGCAGGTACCCAGAGGCATTTGGAGTATCTTAGAGATCTTGCTAAGAACATCCTAGCTGACAAGGAAGGATAACTTGTCATATCATCCTGAATTCCCAGTGTGTGGCCTCTGTGTCTTGGAGATATGACTCATCTCAGAATCCAGACAATCAGGCTAATCTGTCCCCATCTCCTCTGCTGCCAGATGGAGTTTCCTAAATGAGGAAGCTCACCAGTGCACCCCCCCCCGCCCGCTGACCAAGAAGAGACAAGAAGGAACAAAGTTTGTTTGTTTGTTTCCCCATGCAGAATATAAAGCTCTAGAAAGCTTTCACATCAAGTCAGATGCAAGGGCTTAAAGAAGACTCCAAGGGCTTCCAGAGGCTCCAAGGAAGTCTTCAAATACTTAGGCCAGATAGTACTGCCTAACAAAGCACAGCAGTTCTAGTTCCAATATAGCTACCAACATCAAGCACACGGCCCTTTCTTAAAAGAAACTTCCCCAGATGTGTGAATGACTGAAACTTCTGCTTGACTGTCAAGGAGGGATTCAGTGTCTCAAAGTCCCTGCACCTAGGAAGTAAAAATCCAGAAAGCAAAGGACATGGCAGGCTGACCCCAGCAACCATTGCTTTCCTGGACTTCCACTCACAGCTGACACCTATGGCCTACTGGTCATCTTTTTCATCTTTCCACATCTCCTTTTCCAATGGACCCACACTTCTGAGTCAGTGGCCTTATTTCTGGGATGCAGGCCAGACCCAAAGTATTGTGGATCCACCCACTATGTCTTACTCCTACGATATCAGACTGCATTGAGGAGCTTTTATGCATAACTTTCTAGCTTGAGCAGATTTAGGACCCAGTTTCTAAGTGGGAGCTGGGGAAGGAGCTGTGGTCCTGAGTGGCAGCTATGAGCTGGCTGGCTAGAGTCCCTACAAGAGAAGCACCTGAGAAGACAGTGGGGGACTGGGCTCTGAAGAACTTGCTATTCTGAAGATCTGGGTGGAAGTAACTGGGCTCATCTTGTGCTCGAAGAAGAGGGCTACTCAAAATGCTGGTGCAAGAGGTCTTATTGGAGGCTAAGAACATGAACTGCTATCCACAAGGCCAGAGGCCAAGGGGGGGGATTTCAGCTATGCCAGGATGCTGAAAACAAATGTGTGAAACTGAACAAATTGAGCATCAGAGTCACCCCACAAAGCGGGAAAATTTAAGCACCAGACACCCAGTTCATACCCTGATTCAAGTTTAAAGATCTTATACAAGAATCTGTGGGTTGGAGCTACCTGCTAATCAGATGTGGGAGTGCCCTTGTCTCTTGTTCCTGTCCATTTCAGAAGATTTCTCAGTAGATTTCTTGATTTGCCTACTAACATCTGGGTGAGCCTGTACCACTGGGCTACCTACC